TTTTTGACTCAAATTATTTTTAGTACAAAACTCTTTTAAGCAAGGATGTGTCACATGATCTTTGTTTCTGACCCTTCTAGTAAGTAATAAATATTTATTACATTTAATTGAAAGTTTTTATCTCAAAATGCATTTGGCTGCCTGTACCTCGTGCAACAAACTCTTGTCAGTTATCAGATTACAGAATGTTAGCGGGTCTAAAAAAAAACAGCAATTATGGTGATTATTCGTGGTAGTTATGTTCTATAAATTCACTGCAAACACTGAATCAAGGAGTACTGAACCATTCATCCTAGAGAAAATACAGGGTTAGGTTTTTGAGCCTCCGGTTGTAACATTTTTGTCAACAGATCACTGGGTAATCTTGTTTTATGTGTTTTTGCTTAAAGGCACCTCAGTTAGTGTACATTTTTGATTCATTAACATTGACCTCATGACCAACAGGACTATCACTCATGCCCAACAAAGCTTGTGTAATACACATATTTTCTCTCTAAGGAGTATCATGGCCTCTGTACTTATGGACACTGGATGTCACGCATGGGGCCATTTTAAGTAGTGATACCATCAACAAAAAGCACAGAAAGCAGAAAACAAGGCACTAAACAGACCACCAAAAGGACACTGTTTACAGGATGAGCTGGAACAAGAAGGCAGACTTCACCTGGATAGACCTCAGCCCCAGGACATGCACATTGGGCCACTTAGATCCACAAATGACCTCAGAAGTGTGCAAGAGATAACTGTAACTAAGGTTATAAATAAATTGGAGTGAGTAGGTGAATGTGCAAGTATGGAAGCTGCAAAAGGGAGGGTCACAAGTGTGCTCTGTTTTGTCACTGTAAATGTCCTAATATAGGGTGGGTTTCTTCCTCCCAGTAAAGAAGCTACACACTCCCCATCTACTGACCGTGGTTGCAGCTCCCATGTGAGTGTCCATCGCTGAGGGTCCTCCCGGGTTTCTAACAGGAGGGGGCGGCAGTAGTCTTGCCTGTCTGTGTGCATTTACTTTCCTCCCTGCTCAGAGCTCACCCTGGAAGCTGCATCCGGTTCTTGCTCTGGGAGCCCAGGATGTAGAAGCCCTGGCCTCCAAAACCCGAACAAATTGGTTTTTCAGTTGTTGGTAGGTAGGGAGAAGACTGGAGGAGAAGAACTGCCCCCACAGTAGGCTTGAGGGAGCTGGGGGCTGAGGCCAGCTGCCCAGGAAGGAAAAGATCAAGCATCAATTAACTAGCAGTGCAACTTAAATTGGGCCTCACAAAGCAGATTGCTGTGCTGAGAAAATTCCTTCTCCGAGGAGGCAGTCCTCAGTTTGCTGGCTGCCTGGGAGATTCTGCTGGGAAAATTCCCCACAGTTACCTAGGGCACATCAAGGCCCTGGGGCCTCTCCAGGGTGCCCTGCCTGCTCTTTGACTGGGCTGTGACTGTTTCCCAGGTGTTGAAGGAAGCAGTGGGGACCGGTATCACTCACCCTGCTTGGGGAAGGGATGCAGATAACATGTTTGAAGATTAAAGCAGCCACTGGATTCGGCAGTAGTTTTACACACTTTACCCATAAAGTGTGTTTTTCCTGAGGGTTCTTTTCCCTCTAATAGTTATGAGAGGTATTTTGGGGTAATACTGCAGTGCTTTGAGATTTAAGGAGCTCTAAGCTAATGACTGTAACTCCAGTTGTCAAAGACTAGTAAAACATAACAGTTATTGAAGACTTCCTACTGCCAGGTGCTGTTCTAAGCACTTTTCATGTTTTAGCTTATTTAATCCCTCCCTGTCATCCCAAAACACAGTTCAAGGTAGGTGCTGCTATTAGACCCACTTTACAGATAAGGAAGTCGAGGCACAGAGTGGTTAAGTAGTACATGAGTCCACAGTACACAGCCAGTGGGCAGGGGAACCCAGACAAACACAGGCAGTCTGTGCTCCTAGCCCCACTCAACTCAGTTGAATTACAGTGAAGCATCTTCAGTTTAAACCTCTGGTCTTGGGGATTCTAGATTCAGAATTTAAGGGCAGCATATAAACCTTGCTTGTGGGCTCCCAGAGGAGCATCACCCAGTTCCTCCAGGGACATAAAGATTTGCCTGCAGCCCTCTGTTCTCAAGGAATCATAGTCTCAGGGGGATAGAAGTAGGTGAAAACCTGGGGGCTCTGTGGACTCACAGGTGCAGGAGAGAGCACGGTGCGGACAAGGCGGCTGTGGCCAGGCAGTGGGCAGGTGGAGATAAATAAGGAAAGGTGTCCTTAAAGAGACAGTATTGAGATGGGTCTGGAAAGTCAGCCTCAAAATCATTCTACACCTCTCTGACTGTCTGCAGCCAAGGTTAGCCGCCATGCACCTTAGAATTGTATCTTCTCCTGGACAGGGGCCTTTCCTACCTGCTGGTCCCTTAACTCCTCCTTTGCCACCACTGTCCCTATGTGTGACCCAGAAGTATAAGTGAGGGATTGATCATCTGGTGAAGGAGTTAGGCTCCAAATGCTCCTCTGCAAACCTGGCTGACATGGCCAGCTTGGATCGTGTTGCACACAGGGTGTTCAGTGTCTCTCCTTAACAAACCACTGGGGTGAGTGGGCTTGGGTGCTCTCATCTGCCCAAAATTAAAAGCAGGAAAGGTCAACATGGAACATTTGGCAGTGAAAACACAGTTGGGGATGGTCTTTGAATTTAGGCTTGTATTTAAATTCTTCATGGCTCTCATGATCAGTTTTAATTTTGGGTCTTTGATCTTGTTTTGTTTTTTTAAAGATGCAATCCAAACCACTGAGTCTCCCTTGAGCTGGCCTTGAGTCTTTACAGCCCTTGAGACAAGTCCCTGTGATTGTGTGAGAGGCATGCCCGGGCTGGGCTCTGGAAGCACGGGTTGCTTGTGGGTGGAGGTCCCAGGTTGGGCCAGTGCAGTGCCCACTCTGTGTCCTGGGCCCCTTGAGAGTGCTCAGTGGGGACATAACACTGTCTTTGAGGAAAGATGGGGATAGTAGCACCACTTCACTGGATTCTGTAAAGCATTCGCTAGTTTTGCTGTGTGTTCAGGCTGTTTTTCTTCTTTTATCCATAAGCCCCATCTCTGCTGCCAATCCCCGCCCCCCCAGAGAAAAGGCCCAGTACTTTACTCCTCAAAGAAGTCAGAAAATGTAATAAAGTCATAACAGGTCCCAGGACTCTTTAAGTTAGTGAATTTATGGGCTGTCGAGGTTAACATTCCAGTGTGATTTGGGGGAAAAGGTGATTCATAATCTGTCATGCAAAAAATTTGACATTGTTATAAAAATAATCCTCCACTATGTGTTTTTTTCACTGACCTCCAATGCTAAAGTTACATTTTAAAGTATCCATTCTTTAACATCAAAATATTACTATTAATTGATTTTCTCTCTCCCTTTTTTCTCCGTGTGAGGAGAATAAAGCTAGCTAAAAATAACTGATAATTCTCTACTGAGCAGCTCTCCAGCAGGTGCCAAGAAAAGTACAGATCCTGTGATAGGTGGATAGTTCCCCTGGGCGCTGGGGAATAAGCAAGGATGCCAGCATAAAATAAAAGGACGATCTTTCCACTGTATTATTCCACCTTATTTTGTGTTAGGTTCTGTTATTATTTTATGTTACAGATGAGTAGGAGGCTCTGGTTATATGCTATAACTTTGGATGTATGAGATACTTTTCCTCTGCGAGAAACAGAAAACCAAAATCAAACTAACTTTAGCAGTAAAGGCAGTTTTCTGGCTTATATTGCCTAGAAATCCACAGGGAGATGGCCTCAGGCTAGGGTTGATCAGCCACCCCACAGCGTTACCACAAACCTGGTTTCTTTCCTTTGGCTGGCTCTGCCTCTACAAAAGTTGACTTCAAACCAAGAATGGCTCTTCTCTGGTCCCAAGGTGGCTGGCAGTAGCTTTTGGGGTCATATAGTTCACTATTCACATCCAGAAGAGAAAAGAGCCTCAGAAAAAGTCTTTTGTCTCTGCTTCTCCGAAAGGTCTTACTTAGGTCATGCGCCTATCACTGAAGCCCAGAAATACAGTGCCCTCCCTGATTGGCTTAGCCTAGCTCACATGACCATTACCTATCTGGGAGTGGAGTCAGCTTCCCCAGAACCACAGGGATAGCTATTAATTAGTAAAAGAGGAAAAGGAGGTGGTGCTAGAGAAGCAACTAACATATATGGCTTATCAGTTCCTGAAGTGTGAACAAAATACAACTGACCCTTGAACAGTGTGGGGTGCTGACCTCCTGTACAGTCAGAAACCATATGTAACTTTTGATTTCCCTAAAACTTTAACTACTGGTAACCAACTATTGACCAGAAGCCTTGCTAATAACATAAATAGTTGGCCAATACATATTTTGTATATGTATTATGTACTGTATTCTTATAATAAAGTAAGCTAGAGAAAGGCCTTTTTGTTTTCAAATTGTTGCAAATCTCTGAAAAGTTTTCTAGTATGTTTGTTGAAAAAAAAATCTGTATAACAAGTATACCCACACAGTTCAAGCCCATGTTGTTCAGGGGTGAACTGTACACATTTTTTTTGTTCTGAATATCTCAATTGATATATATTGGTGATAGAAATCTGTCACTGAAGGCAGGTATATTTTTCTACCAGTTCCCTTTCCCAGTCCCTTGTTCTTCTAGACACATAGGAAAAGAGCTTGTCAGAAAGAGGTCAGATGAGGGAGCTTCTTCCTGCTGTCCCAGGATCTGAAATGGGAGGGAAGGAGAGGAGCACAGAAATGGAAGCATTATTGCCCATCCAATAAATTGTACCTCAAGAAAAGAATTTTCCTTCCTTGAAATTTTGTTTATACAGAAACAGGCTTAATGAAACTGAAATGTCATAAGAAATAGTCCTACTTAATTTGTTAATTTCCTGCAGTTGGGATTTTGCCTATTCGTGATGCTTTTGTTCCCTCATGCTACAGCCTTCTGCAAATCCTGCTTTTTTTAGTGAACAATAAAAAATGTCTTAAGTGACCTGGGCCTTCTTCTGTCTTCTGCCTTCAGTGGGCAGTTTGCCGTCGTGAAGAAATGCCGTGAGAAAAGCACGGGTCTACAGTATGCCGCCAAATTTATCAAGAAAAGGCGGACGAAATCCAGCCGGCGGGGCGTGAGCCGCGAAGACATTGAGCGGGAGGTCAGCATCCTGAAGGAGATCCAGCACCCCAATGTCATCACCCTGCATGAGGTCTACGAGAACAAGACAGATGTCATCCTGGTTTTAGAACTGTGAGTGCTGTCTGTGTGGCTGTGGCCCGGCCAGGGGTAGGCAGGGGCGAGGGCTGAGGGAGTTGCTGAGGCCAACCCAGAGCTTCCCTGCAGCAGGACAGCACAGTGGCCTGCCCTGCAGCCATGTTGGGATGGCTTCTTCTTTGCCACGAGTGTGCTGCCTGCCCTGGGGCCTAGCTGCAGTTGTCTAGAATAATCCTGCAGAGCAGCCCCCCTGACTGCAGTCCCACCTGATTTCAAGCAGGTCCCCAAAACTTGGGGCTCTTCTGCATTTGTCGTAAGATCATCTGCTTTCTGAGTTTTATGTTAAGCGTTACATGTCCTCTCTCCTGTCATAATGCTCCTCTGCCTTCCTCTGTTTTCTCCTTCTGTTCCCTTCCCCTGTGTCTTTACACTCCCCCCACCCCGATATTTAACTGTTGGAATCCTCAACACAATTTATGCAATAGGGTAAAATCGAACCAGAATCACTCAGAGGTGATTATAAGACTTATTTTTAAAGTTTTTTGCCTATTTTCTCCAACACACCTTGCCCCTCAGACATTATGATGGGAACCTGAGTGTAGCATGTTGTCCTCTGATGTGTCTCCCTGGCCCTGGCCCCTGCCCAAGTGTGCCACTCCTGACCAAGTCCAGCACCACAGACCAGTGAGGGAAGAGAGGAAGCTTTGTAAGAGCTTGGCAGGGTATGTCTCTGGGCTGTTTGGGTGGAGGGAGACATTGTCCTGAGGGTAGAGGGAACGATGGAGCTTCTGAAACCTGGTGACAAACCAATCCTGGTGGTTCTTGATGCTGATAAGCCCCACCCATTTCCTGGAAGCCTCTAGAATTCAGATTTGCCCTTGTGCCAGTCTAATATCTCCCCATGTTTGCAGATCTGTTGGGACTAAGAGGTGCTTTTTGAGACCAGAGTTGCTGAAAGTGAAGAGAGGTTTTGGGCAGGCCCAGCCTAGACCCCGGGGCCCCACACTGCAGGTGCCCTGGGCTTTGCAGTCAAGTCTGGAGGCACCCACAGCTTCTTGTCTGTCACTGGGATTTGGGCACATTCCTTTATGGGTTTGAGCAACAACCTTCTTAACTATACATGAGGGTTAATAATACCTACTTCAAAGGGTCTTGAGATAAATGAGATAAAAATTGAAAAATACCTAGCCCAGCGTCTGGCTTGTGGGTGAGTGAGATACACATTTGCAGGAAGTTCTCAGCCTCTGCACTAGTGACATTTGGGCTGGTTCAGGCTTTGTTTAGGGGACTGTCCCATGCCCTGTAGGATGTTTAGTGGCACCTCTGGCTTCTACCCACCAGATGCCAATAGCACATCCCCCCACCCCCCAGCCATGACAACCAAAAACGTCTCCAGACATTGCCACATGTCCTGTGGGGGGCAAAAATCCCCCTCCTACCCCCATTGAGAAGCACTGCTCTAAAAGGAGAGCAGGATGCTGGGTGCACAGAGGATTAAGGAGCCTGCTCAGGATACAGCAGAGGAAAGAATTGCCACGTCATCCTCACTGTGGCTTCATGTGAACCAAGATCAAAAACCAGGGCCAATCCTACCATCTTGAGGCCTACATCTCCTCCCTTAAGGCTACTGTAAGAGACTGTGTATTACATAGTTCCTGGGAAAGCAGCGTTACAAATCAGAACTGTTTTGCCTTTTTAGAGAATTTGCCAGGTTGTGCCCAGTGACTCCAGAATGGCACTTATCCTTTTTCATACCAAACTGTACGATTGATGCCTGGGAGTTACTGCTCTTCTTGTTGCCACTTGGGTGTGTATATTTGGGATTCAGCTCTGTTGACTGACTCCAGTCCACAGGTACTTTCTGTTAGATGCTTTTATCCTGTGAGTAAATTAGGTGATATACAATTATTTACCATTGGATTTTTAAAATTTCTAAAATGGTGCACAGAAGTTTTGCTGCTGGTTGTACAAAGTCTTGGAAGTTAATGTGTAGATTTTTGTAACCACCCAAATCAGGGTTCAGAACAGTCCCAGTAGCCCACGAATGCCCTTGTCCTAACCCTTTATGGTCACACCCTACTCCCACCTCCTACTACTGAGCTGCTCTCCCTCACTGAAGTTTTGTCCTTTTGAAAAAATCATATAAAGAGAATTATGCAGTATTCAATCTTTAGAGGCTGGCTTTTGCACTCAGCATATTGCTTCTGAGATTTGTGCATAGTCCTTTGCTCCTCTACTGCTGAGTAGTATTCCCCTGAATGGATCTTTGTTTACCCATTCATCCACTGAAGGTCATTTGGGTTGTTACTAATATTTAGTGATCATGAATAAAGCTGCTGTAACCATTTAGTTATAGACTTTTGTATGGATGTACGTTTTTATTTCTTAGGGGTAAATACCTATGAGTGGGATTGCTGTTTCATGCGCTAACTGTATATTTAACTTTATAAAAAACTGCCAAACCATTTTCTAAAGCTGCTGGGCCATGTTACAGTCCCCAGGGGCTGAGCGGTCCCGTTGTTCCACCAGCACTTGGTATTGTCAGTATTTGATTTTTACTGTGGCCATTCTGGTAGGTGCATAGTGGTGCACAGCTTTACATAGTTCATTGTGTGGCAACCTTGAGTAAAGTTCAGTGAGCTCAGCAGGAGTGGCTGTTAGATGGAAGGGGCAGGAGGGACCTTAGGAGATGGCCCCTTCCTCCTGGGGTCAGACGTGTGTTTCTCTTCCCTGGTTATTTGCTCTTCACAGATTCCAGCTTCCCCTGTGAGCTGATCGCCCTTGCCTTTTCACCTGCTGGGCATGTAGGGGGTTGTGATGGTTACTTTTATGTGTCAGATGACTGGGCTGTGGTGTGCCCAGACATTTGGTACATTATTCTTGGTTATGTCTGTGAGGATGTTTCTGGATGAGGTTCACATTTGAATTAACAGACTGATAAAGCAGATTGCCCTCCCCGGTGTGGGTAGGCCTCATCCAATCAGTTGAGGGCCAGAACGGAACAAAAAGGCTGATCTTGCCCCAAATAAGAGGGCATTCTTCCTACATGATGGCCTTTGAGCTGTGCCATTGGCTTCTTCCTGTCTTCCAACTGGAACTGTATCATTGGTTCTCCTGAGTCTCCAGCTGACTCAGATCTTAGGATTTATTGGCTTCTGTGATCACATGAGCCAATTCCTTATAATAAATCTCTTTCTCTCTCTTTGCACATTGGTTCTCTTTCTCTGGAAAACCCTGCCTAATAAAATGGTACTAGGTACCAAGAAGGAAAAGTACATTATTGTTTCCACATCACAATCCTGTCCCATTTGTTATATATTTACTTTGCCCTGAAGAGTCTATTAATTTTTAATAGACTGTTCAAAATATTAGGTCTGCCCAGGAAGAATAGTCATCTTTGCCTGTGAGAAAATTATTGTCATTCTAAATTCTAATAGCTCTAAAGGAAGATTGAGTCATTAGGGACATATTCCATCTCTTTTCCTTCTTAAGAATGCTTGAGGTACAGTGTGGCTGAGGAGAGAATAAAATCTAAGAATTTGTCAGAAAAGAGCACTATTACATAACACTAGCCACTTTTCTGAATCCTCTGGTTCAGTAACTTTGAGTGGTTGTATTTTTCTGATGTATGGCTTTGGGATGAATTCCATGGCTTCTTTAGGCTTACTGGTAAAGCTTGTCCCCTGGTTGGAAACTTGTGCCTTTCTCTACTTCTATGTGTGAGTTCTTACCTCCAGATTCCAGGCCCAGCCTTACCACCAAGACAGAGAACTCCTAAACCACTATTATGTGTGCTACTTAATGAATTGCTTCCTGTTACCTGAGCATGGTGCAGAAATGATATCTTTTTAGTCCTTTGTACAGAAATTATTTGGTGTCTGTGTCAAAGGCACCGTTGTCAAATCCTAGTCCAGGATCTGCCCTTTAAAAATTTTGGAAGCCCTGAAAGGAGCTTTAAAGAGTGACGTCCTCCTGCTTGCTTCACAGGAAAATCATCTTTTCATTGCTGATCTGCTGTTGCAGCCCAGCATAGCATGTACACGAAGAAGGAGGCATGTGAGATGTCTCAGTCACAATTTCATGCCTTCCATATTCCCGCAATCATACCGATACAAAACTCTCTTCTTACTTTGCTCTTCCTCACCCTCACGGCTGCATGCGGAAGCCACTACACAACCTTGAGCTTCAGTGCTTGAGTCATTTCACAGCTTACCTGTTACCTGGTGAAAAATGAAGCAACTCTAAGAACTTAAAGTTGGTGCTAATCAGAGATGCTGGCTTGAAGCATTCCATTCCTAAACTTGCTGTTCAGAAACAGCTAAGTATTTCAGGCTGTGGAGAGTGATATATTTTTCTGTCTGACTCTCCTCTGCTCATTCAAACCCAAATGCCTTTAGGGGCCAAATAGGTCATGTAAATGAACAGGTTTAGGCTTCACAAAGCCTCAGTGTTGGGGAGATATCAGGGAATGGTGAGGACTATGGCTAACTGGAACCCTTATGCATTACCTCAAAGGGACACCCACCAATCTGTTGATTGTGGTCATGGGGAGTTTGGGATCTAGTGTTACTAAATCTTGCATTTTTTTTTCAAGAAAAGTCTGTAAGCTATGTTTGTAATGTTGGTACTTATTTCATAATATTCATAAAAAGATAAAACCCATCTAAAGGCCCCATGTGACCTGCACAGACCACAGATTTTACCTGCTATATTTAAGCAATAAGTATTAGTTGATCACTACTGTGGGAGAAACAACATGTGATATTTACAGTCAGAGGCACAGTCCCAAAGGGCTAGTAATTCTGCTGGAAGGGCAAGGTACACACTTAGTATTACATGTTCTGAATGTTCAGTATGGTGTGAAACAGTGGTTCTCAGATTTTAGCATGCATGGGAATCTCCTGGAAGCCTTGTTAAAATAGATGTTATTTGGCTGCACTTCCAAGTTTCTAACTCAGTGGGGGCTACGTGGGGCCTGAGAATTTGCATTTTAAACAAATTCTGAGGTGGTGCTACTGGTCTGGGGTTCCCCTTTG